GGGGGGGTCTGAGCCTCAATCTTGGCTCCACTGAAGAGGGATCAATCAGCAAAGAAAGTTTTTTTGTTCAGTGCAGGCTCCAGGAGACAGTTGTACTGCGAGCCACCAAAGTGACTCCACTATGTACAGACTGATGACACTCACCTGCAGCCCCCCGATCGCTGCAATACTGGGGTGCCGCATCTAACACCCCCCGATTTACTGGATTACAAAAAGAGCATCTCTAACGGAGAACAAAGTTGGTGCTGGTGCTGCTTCTGGTTCGGGATGCGAAGGAGATTTGGCATGGTGAGGAAAAAGAAATTTGCGGCAGGCTGCAGGATTCAGGGATCAGATGAGTAGCTGGATTATAAAGGGGTTGCATGCGGACAATGCACGGATCAGTCAAGGGGAGCCTTGGAAAGTGCTCAGGGAGCGATCAGAGGCAATAAGATCAGCAGCGGACTCCTGATGCCCATGTATAGGGACCGGTGATCGCCCTCATTGACTGATGGACTGTGAAGTTGCTTGGATTCCGACCGATCAGGACCGCTTCTGATTTTGCTTGGACCGTGACTGCACTGCGGAATGCCCTGCTCTGTTCTTCTCCTGGATGTACAATTTCCATCCTCATCACTCAAGTGTTGCCAAGGGAAAAGTCTTCTGCTGATGGACAGAAGTTTCCTGCTTGCTCTCTAACCCTCGGGATTAAAGCGCATGGTGTTACTAGATTTCTTTGATTTTTCTACAAAGGAGTTTTCCATGGACATCATGAGCCTGCCGAGGACATCCAACCTGAGTAAGCTGTGGGTCATGCATCTCTTAGTAACCTTTTTATTGATATCGGTTCCTGGGACATTGAGCAGCAACCAGCCACGTCAGATCTTTCAAGTCCTGGAGGAACAGCCCCTAGAGACCTATGTAGGTACCATAAGCACCAAACCAGGATTCACTTACCGGCTGAGTGAATCCCATGCCCTTTTTAGAATTAATTCATCTTCTGGATCAATCTACACCACCTCTGTCATAGATAGGGAAAGTCTTGCCAGTGATGTCATCAACTTGGTGGTCCTGTCCAGTCAGCCAACATACCCAACTGAAGTTCGCATAACAGTCCTGGACATCAATGACAATTCTCCTGTGTTTCCTGAACCGTCCATTGTGGTGTCATTTAAAGAGGACACGCAAGGAGGAAGGCAGGTTATCTTAGACACAGCCACAGATGCAGATGCTGGTACTAATGGGGTAGATCATCGATCTTATCGTATTGTGTCAGGGAACCAGGATGGTCGCTTCAAATTAGGCATTACAGTCAACCCTAGTGGAGATGGTGCCTTCCTCCATTTAATGTCCCAGGGGCCACTAGATAGAGAGACAACTCCATGTTATTATTTGATTGTAGAAGTGGAAGACAAAGGGTCACCCAAAAGTGTGGGCCACTTACGAGTAAATGTTACTGTGCAAGATATCAATGACAACCCACCTGTATTTAGCATTTCTCAGTATCAGGCTAAGATTGAAGAAGATGCCCCTGTAGGCTCAAGTGTTCTGAAAGTAGAGGCTACCGACAGGGATGAGGGAGATAATGCTGCTATTATGTATCAATTAGCAGAAGGGACTCCTTTTCAGATTGATCCAGAAAGTGGGCTTGTTACTATCAGGGAGCCATTGGATTATGAAAGTCGACGGCAGTATACCCTTAGCATTGAGGCCAGGGACTTGGGAACACCACCACTTACTGGCCGTGCAGAGGCTGTTGTTCGCTTGATCGATGTTAATGATAATGACCCAGTAGTAAAATTTCGTTTTTTACCTGCTTCATCTCGCTATGCCTCAGTGGATGAGAATGCCCAGGTTGGCACAGTGGTGGCGTTACTTACTGTCACTGACTCAGACTCCCCTGCCGCCAATGGTAATGTTACAGTTGCTATCCTGGGTGGCAATGAGCAGCGCCACTTTGAGGTACAAACGTCCAAGGTGCCCAACCTTAGTCTTATCAAAGTGGCTAGTGCGCTGGATCGTGAGCGCATTCCTTCCTATAATTTGACTGTTAGTGTATCAGATCAGGGCCACCCTAGGCCAAGATCCTCAGTGGCTAACCTTTTGATTTATGTAAATGATATCAATGACCACCCACCAGTCTTCCAAGAGCCTCAGAGCAAAGTGGAGATAAGTGAGGACCTCCCACCTGGATCCTACATCTGTGGAGTTTCAGCTACCGATGGGGATACAGGCTTAAATGCCAACCTCCGTTACGCTATTGTATCTGGAAATAAATTGGGATGGTTCTCTATTAGTGAACACAGTGGTTTGGTAACCAGTACCTCAACGTTAGACCGTGAAACAGCAGCTCAATTGCTTCTCAATATCAGTGCAAGAGATCAAGGGCCACAACCCAAAACTAGTTTTGCTACTCTTCTTGTTAGTCTTTTGGATGTAAATGACCAGAGGCCTACTTTCACCGGTCTCCAAGCTAGTGATCAGCACTGGCTGGCCTTACCAGAAAACTCTCCCACTGGCACTGAACTGATAACTTTAAAGGCTACAGATGGTGATCTTGGGAGCAATGGCACCATACGATATTATTTTGATTCGGAGAGCCCAAGCCAATGTCAAGGATTTTTCAGACTAGACCCTTTATCTGGCCAACTTAGTACTCGAGCAGAGTTGGACAGGGAGCAGCAAGAGAATTGCACCTTGGTGGTACTGGCTACTGACCTTGGAACCCCTCCACTGGCATCCTCTGCCAAGATCAATGTTACCCTTTTGGATGTTAATGACAACAGTCCTGTGTTTTACCCGGTGCAGTACTTTGCCAACATTCAAGAGAATGAACCGCCTGCCAGTTTTGTTGTTTCTGTGACAGCAGCTGATCCTGACATGGGTGTAAATGGCACGGTTAAATACTCCATCAGAGCAGGTGATACCTCAAAGTTCCAGATTAATCCCGACACAGGAGCCATTTCTACAAAAACTGCCCTAGACAGGGAAGAAAAAACAGCTTACCAATTGAAAATTGTAGCAACTGATGGTGGAGGCCTACAATCGCACAACCATGCCATAGTTACTATCACTGTTTTGGATACCCAAGACAATCCACCATTGTTTACCCAGGACACATACAATTTTGTTATGTTTGAAAATGTGGCAACAGGATACAATGTTGGGACTGTCACAGCAACTACTATGGATCTGAATACTAATATAACTTACCTGATAATCACAGGGGACCAAAAAGGAGTGTTTACTATCGACAAGACCACAGGACTAATTATGACTGCTGGTGTTATAGACAGAGAAGACCAGAGTTTTTACCATTTGAAAATTGTAGCCAGTGGTGGGGCAGTGACTGGGGAAGCAATTGTTAATATCACCGTGAAAGACTTGAATGATAACTCTCCCCACTTTCTACATGCAGTAGAAAGTTTGAATGTGGTAGAAAATTGGAAAGCGGGTCACATTATATTTCAGGCTAAAGCTGTGGATCCAGATGAAGGAGTAAATGGCAAGGTTACTTATAGCTTGAAACAGAACCCTCTAGGCTTGTTTCATGTAGATTCTATTAGTGGTGCTGTGAGTATAACTGGAGCCCTAGATGTCAGTGCTGGGTCATACCAAGTAGAGATTCTAGCATCAGACATGGGGGTTCCACAGCTCACATCCAGCTTTATACTAACTGTTTCTGTGCACGATGTCAATGACAACCCTCCCATCTTTGACCAGATTTCATATGAAGTGACCCTCTTAGAGTCAGAGCCAGTTAACTCAAGATTTTTTAAACTACATGCTTCTGACAAAGATTCTGGAGCAAATGGGGAAATCACCTATCATATCAAAGATGGAAATGTGGGAGAGGCTTTTGGAATATTCCCAGATGGGCAGCTGTATGTAAAAAGTGAACTTGACCGAGAAGTTAAAGATGTTTATGTTTTGCTTGTAACAGCTTCTGATAGAGCCGTTGAGCCTCTAAGTGCCACTGTAAATGTCACAATATTACTTGAGGATGTCAACGATAACAAGCCACTGTTCAACAGCACTAATTATGTATTCTATTTTGAAGAGGAACAAAAAGGAGGCTCGTTTGTTGGTAAAGTCTTTGCCATGGATAGAGATTTTGGTTCTAATGGTAATGTCATGTATTCTTTTGAGACTATGCAACCTGACTTTGAATTAAATACAATTACAGGTGACATCACTAGTACTCATCAGTTTGACAGGGAGGCTCTCATGAGGCAAAGGGGAGCAGCAGCCTTTACACTTAAAGTGGCCTCTACTGATTTAGGCTTACCCAAGCCTCTTAAAGACCAAGCTACTGTGCAGATTTTTATAAGGGACATCAATGACAATGCTCCAAAATTCTCCAAAGATCTATATCAAGCCAGCATATCAGAACTAGCAACAAACATGACCCAGGTGTTAAGGGTTTCTTCTTCTGATATAGATGAGGGAAATAATGGTTTGATTACTTATTCTATCATGAAAGGGAATGAAGAGAATCGCTTTTCAATTGACAGCAGCACAGGCCAGGTGACATTGGTGGGGAAGTTGGACCATGAAGCCACAGCCACCTATTCTCTTATCATCCAATCTGTGGACTCTGGGGCAATCCCTTTAAGTTCAACATGCACATTAAGTATTGATGTACTCGATGAGAATGATAACATGCCTTCCTTTCCCAGGACAGCTCTATTTGTGGATGTTTTGGAAAATATGAGAGTTGGGGAACTGGTGGCCTCGGTTGCAGCCACAGACTCTGATTCTGGCGATAATGCTGACATTCATTATAGCATTACAGGAACTAATAACCATGGGACTTTTAGCATCAGTCCCAACACAGGGAGCATCTTTTTGGCCAAAAAGCTGGACTTTGAAACACAGGCACTGTTTAAATTAAATATCACAGCTAAGGATAATGGCAGACCACCTCGCTCATCTACTATGTCTGTTGTCATACAGGTGAGAGATTTTAATGACAATCCACCCAGCTTCCCTGAAGGAGACATCTTCAAGTCAGTAGCAGAGAATATCCCTATTGGTACATCAATTCTAGCTATAAGTGCCACTGATCCTGATGCAGACATTAATGGTCAGTTAAGCTATACTATCATCCAGCAAAAACCACGAGGTAACCATTTTGTCATTGATGAGATTCGTGGCACAATTTATACCAATGCAGAAATTGACCGTGAGTTTTCCAATCTATTTGAACTGACTGTCAGGGCCAGTGACCAGGCAGTGCCCGTGGAGACCAGGAAATATGCCCTAAAAAATGTCACTATTTTAGTGAACGATCTAAATGACAATGTCCCTATATTTGTGTCTCAAAATGCTTTTGCTGCAGATCCTTCCCTGGTTATAGGATCCGTGCTCACTACAGTCACAGCTTATGACCCAGATGAGGGTCCTAATGGGGATATAGAATATGAAATTATTAACGGGGACACCGAAACCTTTATCGTGGATCGTTATAGTGGTGACCTAAGGGTAGCTTCTCCCATGGTACCATCCCATCTCATATACAATTTAATTTTGGCTGCTACCGATTTAGGATCTGAGAGGAGAAGAACCACAGCGGAACTGACCATTATTCTTCAAGGAACTGATGGACCAGTTTTTTCCCAGCCAAAGTATATAACAATTTTAAAAGAGGGAGAGCCTGTCGGAACAAATGTGATATCTATTGAGGCATCTAGTACTCGAGGCACAAAGACTGAAGTGGAATACTTCATTGTATCAGTGAAGTGTGAAGGAAAAACTGTTGGACGTCTGTTCACTATAGGACGCCTTACAGGTGACATCCAGACTGCAGCAGTTCTGGACCGGGAACGTGGAGCACGTCTCTACCAGCTGGATGTGTACGCCATTGAGAAAGAAACCAGTTTTCCCAGAACCCAGAGGGCAGAGGTAAGATGCTTTACATCTATCTAACATACACTATGTGCAGCATAATCTGTTTCTTTAAGGTGATGAAACTCCATGACAATGTTAATTAAGTTGAATAAGCTTTCCTGTCTGACAAGACAAAGAACAAAAGTGCAGAGATCAGCAACCCATATCAACCAATAGTGTGTTGAAGGTAAATCAGTGTATGATGAATTTGGAATATCATTTGGGGTTAATATGGTTACTGCAATTTGCATTATGCTTTGCTTTACTGAGAAAACAGTGCACAAGTATGTGATTTAGGCCTTCGATATGCAAGTGTTAGAAAGAAGAACTGTCAGTGTTACCCAAAGCAGCTAATCCAATGTCCTCTTTTTTTGCAGTCTGCTATAGACTTGATTTGGGTAACACAGACTCGTTGAAGTGCTGTATTTAACACACAGCTTAAAGTATAAATTGTGCATTAATGACTGTAGCTAACCTATCTCGAGCTTTGCTTGAATGGATGAGAAGAATGCTGATTTCATCCTGGAATATTTAGGATTCTTTGAAATGCAGATTCCAAATTCTGAGAATCACACCAAAAGGATGCGTTGCACTCTAACATATCTCATGCAATGTAGGTATACGTGTTATTGATTTATTCTGGACAGCATGGTGAAAGGAAATCTGCTTCTTGATGTGTTGCCATTTAAAGTGTTTATTTTCTCTGTACACAGTCTCTGACAGGTTGATTGGTGTCATGCTGTAACACCCCCAGGATAATAATACAAGGAGCACATGGTAGTCAGCACTAACAGTAGTACAGGATGACAGAACTGGAAATGATCTTCAAAATAGAATATTAGCACTGTGTGATACTTGTTTATATTATCCACAAGTGTACATGGGCATCTATCAATCTAGCGGTTATTGGTAATACTGCGTTACACATTTTTTACATTTATCATGAGTGCTGAGCCTTAAAATGCATATATTTTATAATTATTTGTTTCTGGGTGTGGGAGTTATTGTGAACTACATCAGAAGGAAATAGTAAATCTCATTAGCTGTTCTCACCCATCACAAATGATGAGGTTGATGAGAGACAATTTTTTTAAGGATACAAATATCACTAGTCAGCAGTTCTTGGAATACCTAGAGCAGAGGTAGCCAAACCCCGGCACTCAAGCTGTGATGAGGCATTTTAAGACTGTGATGGGCATAACTCCCAGAGGTAGATGCATTATGGTATTTGTAGTTTCACCAAAGCTGTAGTGCTGAGGTTGCCTACTCTTGAGCTGTGGATGCAGTGAAAAGGGGGTATCTGAGCAGGAATGACCTGCACAGAAGGCACATTGAAAAACCTTCACTGCTAAAAATCAATGGGGGGAATTTATCAAAATTGGAGCAGGCAAAATCTGAAGCAGATTTGCATTGCAACCAATCAGCTTCTATCTCTCATTTTCAAATCTCAACTGAGCAAACTGAAGAGATATGCTTATTGGTTGCCATTGGCAACTGCTCCAGTTTCTGTCTGCTCCAGTTTTGATAACCCCCCCAATGTATGTACGGTATGCAAAAAACAAATGCATTGCCTAAGAGCTATCTGCTCAGATATGGTTCGGGTAGGACTGAAGATGTCATCATTCAAGGAGCACATCCACAGACAGGTGGCCCTCAAATTAATGTTTTCCTCTCCAATATATGGTCTGCTTGCACTCCTTTAGGATGTGCATATCTGTCATATTTAGCTATTAATACAGATGGCTAAATCTGTTGAATCATCAGCCTGCCACCAAAAAGGAACATTCTCAGGTATGCCAATCTCCAGGTGCATGAGCAGCTTCACAAAGTAAGAGTGTCTACAGTTATTTGTCTTGAAACGTACCTGTCATCTACATAAAGTGAGGACAGCCATCCAGGTGTGAGCTGTATGCATCTGCCACTGGTACTGATTTAAACCTGGTGGGTATTGTCACCATTGAGGTTTGGTACATTAGACCCAGTCCTTAAAATGGGCCTTAAAATGGGGACACGTATATATTTAAAGGAGAACTATGAGGTAAGTGAAAATTACTCATCCTCATAGTTTGAGCTGACGTGTGACAATGAAACTGTCACACGTCGACTCAATAGATCGGGAAGTGAGCGAATGCATACCGTCACTTGCTCACTTCGCAATCATCTCCCTGCAGAAAGCCGTGACTGTCAGTCACGGCTCCCTGTAGGGATCCCCCATCCCCACACTGATCCTCCAGCGCTGACTGGAGGAATGGACGGGGGAAGGGGCTGGCTTTGTCTCTAGATAGGCAGTGCCAGCTGTCACTCACGCAGCTGGGTGGATCTAGACAACATTGTTGGGATCCGTCCCAGCTGAGGCAGTCTCAGTATCCCGCGAGCTGTAGCTTGCGATATACTGAGGGTTGGGTCACGGGAGGGCGCTACTATATGTCCTCCCGTCACCCTAAAAAAACACTTACCCCATAGTTCTCTTTTAAAGATCATGCATAACCAAAACATTTTTTTTCAGATTGACTAGGGAAGGCTAAAACTCTTGTTACTTTATGTTTTGCTGGGGAGATTCCCCTTCACTTCCTGTACAGGGATGCAACAGAAAGTGAGAGGAAAGTTCTACAAAATCAAAGGCATGTCCCATTTGTAGGATTTACACCTCTTGTTCTGATGACAACTCTAAGGCCTCATTCACACTTTAATATGGCAAAGAACAAAGTATAAAGTACAGCTATAATTACACTTTAATATGGCAAAGAACAAAGTATAAAGTACAGCTACCCATACCAAACAGTCAGCAATCATCTGCCATTGTCGTTGACTGAATAAAGAAGGAAAAGCTGGACAAATACAATCCCTTCATTATGTAATTGACAAAAAACCCCAACAGAATGAGTGACCCAATTACAGAAAAATTCCTATTGTGATAATCAGGGGCATTCCTAAACTTTTCGGTGCCCGAGGGGAAGGGGGGGATTAGGGGGTGTTGTGTTGGCAGCGGGAGGGGAGAGGTTGGTGTGCATAGTACCTCTGCCCGCCCAGCTCACTGACCTCACTGGTTGCCAGGAGCTGGGGGGAACGCCAGTCAGAGCATCCTGCTCAGCTTTTGGCAACCAGTGGGAAGAATGCCGGCCAGAGCATCACAGGTTGCTAAGAGCTCTTAGCAACCTGGAACGCTCTGGCCGGAAAAGGTGCAGCAAGTGTGCCCCACATGACCCATCAGATGCCACGTAAGGCAACCACCACATTATAGGAAGTGTTGACACTATTGTCTGCATATGGTACCGGTACCTATGTTGGTGTGACTGGTGAATGCAGGTATGAGTGGTAGCAGAAGGTTGACAACGTTGTCAATAGTTTTTAATGATCACAAAGGGACGTTTTTTTTTTAATTGGGCCACTCAATCAATTTTTTTGTTTATTGCATAACAAAGGGATTGTATTTGTCCAGCTTTTCCTACGTGCCTTTTCCTACTTTATGCTTGTTCAATTCTGGTTGGAGTTGCTGGGTTTCCCAGGCAATTGACGTACACTTCATGATCCATCGGACATGAGATCAGTTTTACTCATTTTAAAATCTTCCATTGTCCTGACTGTCCTTCTCTTCTGAAAACTAAAATCAGATTGGTTCCTGCCACCTCCTACACTTTGTGAAAGGGGAAGTATTCTAGCTTGTGCTCTGCCGAATTTATTCTGTTACAATCAACTGTAATGCCAGCAACCTTTCTTTGTGCTGACTAAACCTTTGGAAAGTTGTGTGGCCTTAAACAAAACATGAGCTTAGGTTCTCCGTACTTAGAGAAAACATTTTGAAACACTCAAGTTCTGTAGCTGACATGCTTTAGCTCTGCAGAAGTTCCAGAGTGAACTTTTCTGACTAAGAAGCTCAGGTTTCAAGCCAATGTTCTGAACCCTTCTTGGTCGCAGTAGCCTGTGAAACAGTTTTTTTTTTTGCTTACAGTCGTTCTACAAGCAAGTTATGGCTTTTACTGGTTAGCACAAGCCTTACCTCAAATGAAAAACAAATGTTTTCCTATTGAAGCATTTTAAGTTCTTCACTTAAAGGCTAAAGTTTATACACGCACAGCTCCTTCCCTTACATTTGATACAAAACAATACATGTGCTATGTGGAGGTTCCAATGTAATGTTTAGTATTTTCAAAACAAGATAGGTAATTGGAGCTTTATTATTGTTGCATTCATTATTTAATATTTATTATATTACATTTTTGTAGTGCTTAGCCTGCCACAAATTCACCTAGATTAGAATTTTTACTTATCTGTTATATAATGAATTGTGTTCTATTTTTAAAGAAGAACTCTTGGCACATTTTTTTTTGAACCCTTGCAGTGGGGATACCCCCATACTGCGAAGGTTAACTGCACGTTTTTTCCAAGAAAAAAAAAAATGTGATTAACCCTTGCAGTGGGGCTACCCCTGCACTGCAAGGATTAACTGCTCGTTTGTGTCTACGTAAAAAAAAAAAAAAAGTCATACTCACCCGAACAGCTGAGCCAGCTCCCTGCTTCTCCGGTCTCTGCATCATTGGAATAACCCTCAGCTTCCTCATGTCTGTGCACTGGGGGGAATTTATCAAAACGAGAGCAGGCAGAATCTGGAGCAGTTGACCATAGTAACCAATCAGCTTCTCTCTTCAGCTTGCTCACTTAAGCTTTGAAAATAAAAGATTAAGCCTGATTGGTTGATATGCACAACTCCTCCAGTTTTAATAAATTCTCCTCACTGTGCATGGAACGCAATTATTTATGGGACCTTTAGACCGCTGCAGAGGAGGGGGGGGGGCAAGACTGGAAGGACTGGTCTAAGAACAAGCCAGCTTCGGAATTCAGGTGAGTATAATTTTTTTAAGGACCTAGGCAACAACGAGCAGTTAACTCTTGCAGTTCGGGGATGTCCCACTGCAAGCGGTAATAAAAGATTTGCCCGGAGTTATTTATTTAAGTGATCGTTATTACCTGTAAAGCTGTAGATGCATATCCATATCTACATATTATTATTATACAGG